AATAGCGCTAAGTACCTTTATAAATAATAAATGCCAGATAATGGGAGAAATATTATATTTAGTGTATACATAGAATGTTTTTAAAAAATATATATTAAGGAACATCGTGAAGTTTCTGCTATACGCGCTAGGAGGAAAATCGATAATTGATTTAAACTAAATCGGAAACGGCGGCGACATTATCGCCGCTCCGTCGCAGAAGCAATTTGTCAAAGTTATAGAGAAAATCGTCACAGAATAAGTATACCTTTTATTGACCTAACCCTATTTTGTTAACCTCTACACGTATGTCGAACATCTTCGATTTTATCCACCGAAAATCACTAGCCAATTTGTCCTTGCACAAGGCCCGACAAGTCCGCGAAAATTTATTACGGATGGCATTGATAAAAATTATGTAAATTCTTCTGTCTATTTTCTTAATCTTACTTAATACACGTGTACACGTGGATATTATCAAGGAAACTATTAGGTTGCATTTTCTAAATTAAACTCTAAAATACATTTCGCAGAAAATTTCAATTACGCAAAAATAGAATAAATAGAATAAAATAGAATTAAAATTTGCATATTTTTGTGTGTGCAGCGAATATTAAATTAGTAAGATGAGGCTGCTGTACGGCAACGCTCAGTTCAATTAAATGAGGCAGTTAATTTTTTTAAAAAGCATTTTTCTGTAACTCAATCACTGCGCTGCATATTTTTTGTACACTAATTCCCAGTAAAATAAAGAGGCATATCAACTTCGGTTAAGTTTTATTAATGAAAACGCCAGTCCGGGGTTTTTCATTGCCTATAAATTTTTAAAAGCCACATACATGTAATGCGAATTGCAAATATCCAGCATTTTATGTTCACTTGCAAATAAAACTGTTTTAAACACGTTCGAAACCCACTCGATTTTATTAACTGTTACATAAAAACTGCGCATTTCATGTTTTGTTCCTAAAGAGGACTAGTCAAAGCAAATCATTCCAGGTATTTCGCATTCGAAAAGCACTTCAAATGCGCACCGATTGATTTTGTTACAAATACATCAAACCACCAGCACTTCTATTTTTTTTATATCATAGTCCAATCCTCTTAATTCCTATTATTTTGGGACTAATCCTCTTAAGTTCACATTTTTATTCGACGATATTACCGCAGTTATCCTCGTCAAGAACGACAAGGCATTCCTGCACCTGATACTTTCCTAAATCCCCCTTTTATACAATTTCCGATTTCGACGGGTCCAATTTTTGTTTCTCCCGTTGTTCTAATTCGATGGATATCGATTTCTAATTTGGAGCGTCGTTACTAACGTTATAGCTTGTTCTAATTTAATCAGATCTTCTCCTTTAGGATACGTTTTGCAGCTGGGTCTGCCGATATACATATTAGCTAAGTAGATTGTCCCTAGTATCAGCGATTCACACTTTTAAATTAATTTAACGATTAATTTATCTCGCTCGCATTGCAGGAGTGCCACAGGGATCTGTGCTTGGACCTGCGCTGTTCTCAGTTTATGTTAACGATTTAAACAGCTCTGTAGGTTACCCCTTATCAACTATTTGCTGACGAACTGAGTCAGTTCCTTTAACAGTATTTTTTTACTTCCCGTAATCTATTTGGTATGATTTTATTTCACTTTCTGTCCCTTGAAAGTGTCGATGTATCCATTTGTTTTCTCGGCGTCACAGCCAAACCGAGACGTACAATTCTCACAGTTAGAAAATGTATTGGTTGTGTTTTCTAAATTTAATAATGAACACACGTCTGGTGCGGCTTTTCGAATCACGTAATAGACTGGTGTTTCAGACAGTGCTGACAATTTGGCCAAAGAAAAGGAGTCTCAGTGGACTTTGCGATGTTCAGTACGTTGACAGGGACATACGGGACATCCGACTGCACTCTGGAGCTGCACTGCGCTTCCAGTAAACTTATTGGCAAGGACGTGGATAGGGGAGGGGGTAAAATATGCATCGAAAAAGTCCGGCAGGATCAAAGTGTGCAGTCCGAAGAGTAAAAAGGTTTTTCAGTACCTCATGTTGACGTAATGCGAGAAAGAAAATAATACAAATTCATTAATTCATATTTTCAAACGGAATTACTGATCTCCGTAAACAAATATATGAATACATAATTAAAATTTCGACTTTTGACACTACCAAACGCAATAAGATGATGCGGAACACATGTACCAGTATAAAAACGTTTTGAAGCCATCTTCAACTATAAATTGGTTAGAAGCTTTTATTAGTTGACTTTCTCCATGCTTGTGTAGGTTCTATATCGAACGTAATTCACATTAGCATGAAGAATAGCTATCCATTCTCGAGATCTATTGTTTTCTACGTCATAAATTTAAAAAGTATCGTATCGAAAAGGAACAGTAACCAGGAACTAAAGTCTCTCTAGCGAAAAATTGAAAATTTATCATTCCCTATACATTTTAAAAACACCATCTGGCGAAATGAGGCGGTATCGAACAGAACTTTTATTATTTTGGTCGTTATAAATCAGAGGGGTGGAATCACACTAATATTAGCAAGGTAGATCTGGATTTGAAATGGTAATAAATTTTCGCTGATTTATTAATGCAGAATAAATTAAATTTAATGAATAAAATTTTTCTTCCGTGGGTCAAGGCGTAGGCTGTTGTCAAATAAAATTTTATACACGTACAAAGTCCAGAGGGGTAATTAAAAAATGATAAAATTCAAATTTTTCAGAACGTTGTTTCTGCATTTGATACACTTAAAATAAAATACATGCTTTTAACAATGAATGAAATAGAACAGGCCCTTACAAATCCCAACAACGCCCAAAATACCTGTTACCTATTCACGAAAGTGCTTGACTTTTAGTCTTCCGTTTCAGAGAGCTTCTCTGTGTAGCCTTTCATGAAAACCGTTTTAATCTTTAGGGGTTGCCGGGCGATAGGAGTGATCTACCCCATTTCCCTACTACCCCATCCGCCCCCTCGTAGGGTCTATAAATGGGGTCGTTGTGACCGCTGAGGTGGCCCTTTTGGACCCTTGGGATATCATTTCGTTCCTCCGGGCTAGTACGAGCTCCCACTGGTATACAGGGCGTCCCCGCAAAGCCCGCTAATCAATTTAGTTTGTACGTCGAAAAAATTCATTGTAAAAAATTACTGTATTATTGTGGCCATCAATTTTGTGCAAAATAGCGCATGTTAAGGAGGTGAATCGGGGTCCGAGGTAAGTGAAGAGCGCGGGGGGTCCTATGCCTTTCTTATGGGACTAAAGCCCGTTGCCAATTTGAAAAAATTTAATTCTGTTGAAATTATTTGCTATAAACATTATCTATATAGCAAATAAATCTACTCATATGCACATAGCATACATATTGACTAATTAACAACATAAAAATATCATATTTAAGTAGTTTTAAATTATATTTAATGAACACATAAAGACTATGTAGATGTGGCAACAGCGCTAATAATTGACTAGCAGTTGTACACACTGCGAACCTACAGACCTCGGACATCGGAGATATTGCGCGTCAAATTCGGGTAAAGATGCGTACGCGTTCAAAAATGTATTGTGTGTAAACTATGTACAATATAATTATTATATATAGCAAATATATCGTATTATCCTCGCGAAGATTTGTATCCTTTATTTAAAATCCGTAAATCATGTGAACTGGTAAAACAACGAGAATTATGTTAATTTAGTTCTAAAGAAATGAAATGACACTCGCGCCCATCTCTCGTCCAAGTCAAAGAAAATGTTGGATGCAATTTTGAAGGTTCTGTGATAGAAATTACATTATTACTCACTGTTCGTGTTTTTCATCTCTATTTTAGTAATGTTACAAAAGTTTTGCAACTATAACTAATTTTTTAGATATAAACTTTGCTGAGAAATATTTATGTTCCTTTGTTATTCCGTACAAATGCTTTTAGCTCAAGTATTACTAATTATATTAATCAAGTAAAGAAAACTTTATGTAACCCTAAACATTGCGGGGTAATGATTACAATGTTTTTATAAACCATTAAATATATTGAAAGGATTTACCAACTGTATTTTTTATTCCAATAAATATATCACAGCTTCCTAGTGTTTTTTAATTAATATAGTTTTTTAAAAATATTACAAAAAATCATCTGTTGTGGATAATTTATTGTTGATAACAATGTACATGGGATTTGGGAAAAATTTATGTTTGAAACAATTTCGTTTTTATCAAGTCTTTCAAATGTATTCCCTCCTTGCTGTCAGCTGATTGCGACGTTGCCACATTAATCCTCAAGTCAGACAGAAATGCAATTATTGGTTTCTGTTTCTAATTAATACAGCTATGGAAAAGTTTTGTTTCACAATTTTCTTCTCAGTTATGGGCAAAAAAAGAGCCGCACCATCCATCTTCGCCGTATTAAAATGAACAATTTTCAACAACAATATCTCAAAAACTAGATTAAAAAAAATTCAAAAAATATTATGCACAGAGGGAGCATTGGGTAATACGCTATATAAATTTCAAGTACATCTGTGCATTTGAGTAAACCCGATATACCTCCTTAAGAATATTACGGCACAATTCCACAAAAAAATATGTATACCTTCTATTCAGTAAAATCTCGTGTGTGTTTTGAAAAATGGTGTTAATACATTGTTTTTTCTAAAAGATCGTCATTTATGATACCCTGTATCTCAAAAACAAAAGATAATCCAGTGATTCATTGAAAGAAATGAATTTGCACAACACTGTTTTCCATCCTGAGCAGTTAAACTACATCTAAACACTTTCAAACAACAGTTTCCATACAAAGTAAACATTAAATATTTATATACATTCATATCGCTGGCGCTGTTAGCTAACAAACAATAAATATTTCATAGACGCTATTTAAATATTTTTTCATTATTCAGGCGTGGTTGCTAGGAATGCGCATTTTTTGCGCACAGAAACAAAGGAAAATCAGTCAGATATTTGCAATACTGCAATTATCTGCAGCGTGGATGTCATAGATAAAAATTTGCTACACTTTCGAATATTTTTATTAATAAATAGAGCACCTGTATTTACAATTAATCTTAACATACACGTCCTAAGGCTACGTTAAAGCTAACTCGCGATTCCCTCGGAATTTTCGTTGGAAAATCGGAAAATTTAATTAGAGCAACCGCTGCCATCGCGACATATTGTAGCCGGAGAGTGGTTTATTCAATCGGATAGTTTTCCACTACGACGTCACATCCGGCGCATTCGAGCGACATTTCACAGGACGCTGTTTTAGAATGAAAAAAAAAAACGGGTCCAAATAGAAGTGACGTCACGGGAAAATTGACTGTTACTTGAAAGAACGAAGTTATAAAAAATCTAGTTTATGTAGATTTTTGAAATGATTGTTTAGGATTTGAAGATATCATAAACTAGGACACAACGAAGCTTTAACAATAATAAATAATTTAAAAAATGCAAGGATGAGCACTTTTTCGTTTTCTAAATAAAACAACGCAATAAAAAAATGAATTTTTCTGTGATACATAAGTTATTAGCACATCGGGAGTAAGAATTGTAAAGTGAAGCGTCAAATACGTCGTTAACATATTCCTATTCACTGTATAGAATCTCACGAAATGTGTCGTCATTAAAACATGACTAATATGATATACAGGGTGTACCGAACAGACCCGAACCACTTAATACAAAAAATCATAGGACCATTTGCGCTTTTAATACTAGAAAACTGAATCTGTTTCTCTTTGCTGTTTTCTCATAGTTTTTTCCCCAATCTAATCAAAACAAAATATTGTAATAGTTCTTCTCCTCCTGAATATCTCATTCTTACAGTCAATTTTTGTTGTTATCCTAACTCCTATCCTAACTCTAATAGTACGGTTTTAAAACAGCACTTGGTGCTGTACAAAACTGTTGATTTCGCTTCTGGACAATCCTTCAAACAATATACATAGCATATCACAAATATATACACCCATAACTTACAAAGCCCCTTCAAATCACTATCTCGACTGATAATAATTCAAAGCGGATGCTATAGCGGATTTGGCGAACTCGGAATCACACGGACTCATCCCCCAGAAGGGCCCGGGACACCCCCGTTGCTCGAAACAGCTATCCGGCACCCTGGTGGAGCTTGCAGAACAACAGGACACTATGGCCCAAGCGCAGTTACTCGGCCCTGCACGTGGAGGCGCAATCGTCGTTATCCTCGACGCAGGCGCTGATTCCACGTCTTCCGACTCAGCAGCCAACGCGTTTGAGCCCTTGCTAATGTCATGGATAAGTGGAGGAAACTCTGTGGTGTCAGAAACCTTCGGGAACCTTGTAGGGATGACGGTCGACGCGTTCTCGTCCATAGAGGCACCCCAAACAGGTCTGTCGTCTTCGTCATCGTTGAACCTGTTGGTGATCGTCATAGTGATTGCCTTCTCCGTTGTGGGAGGAAGGTACCCAGGGCCCCTGAACGGCCTGTTGGGTAACGGATTATCCAAGGGCGTGCCGGGGTTCAGGTGCAGCTTCTGCGGGGGGAAGTAGATGGGTACCTTCCCCGCGGCGCCGTACACGGGGATGAAGTACGGCCTGCTGAGCTGGTACGGCGACGGCTTCCACCTGGTGAAGCCCTCGTAGTCCGTCCAGGAGGAGTAGGCCCTCTTCTGGCGGTCCGCGTCGTCCTGGGGAACTGTTGCTTCGGCGGGGTGGCTACGAGCACGGGACCCGTCCTTGTATCGATCTGGGAAGGAAGCTACGGGGCTGGCGAGCGCGGCGGCCAGCGCCAGCGCTGCGGCAAAGAGGCATGCCGGTGTCATCCTGGAACAATTGATGCTGGTCAGTGGGGTGGTGAATTGTGCTAGCGGGGATTGTGGCATGGGGTGATGCGGGATGACCGGTGGTGGAAGGGTCGGTTAAGCCGCGAAGGATATGAAGATGCGTAACGTTTAATTTAAATTTAAATCGTATTTCACTGCTTTCAATACTTTTTGTGGCGCAATTTTCGTTTCTAGAATTCTATTGGAAATGTTTAGTTTAAAACATAGTACAAATTTGGTTTAAATCTCAAAATTGCAGCATTAAGTAGTTTTTCTAAAAATTACTATGATTAAGCAAAATAATTTCCAAAAATTTGGTCGATATTTTTTCCGTTCTTTATTATTAGTAACATTGATGCCAAATATCTAAAACTTTTTCACTTTTTTATTGCCCGTTTAAAAGTTATAAGCAATATTGTCCAAAAGAGTCTCAAAAGAAATATCGCCTAAAAATCACATTAGCGATGAAAGGATCAAGTAGTCATTGGAAAATAATTGAATGTTCGTTGTTTAAAGTGCATAAATGTCACAAAATACTTGTCATTACTCAATACGAACGTCAAATGTATAACTTTTGTGCTTACAAAATGTTTTCTCGTTCAGAAAAGGTTGATATGTTGCTAATTTACGGCGAGTCACAAAAGAATTCAAGAAGAGCTGTAGAGTTATATCGAGAAAAGTATCCAGAGCGTCTCATTCCTGATCGTAGAACCTTTACAAGATTGGAGACGACCTTGCGACGAAATGAAGATGCACTTTCTGCTCGGAAAAATCAAATAATTGACCGACGGGTACAAAACAATATTAACATATCTAGACTTTAGGACGATATTGCTTATAACTTTTAAACGGGAACTAATACAGAAAAATTTCTCTAATAAAAGTTTATTAGAAAAAAGAGAGCTTTTTAACAGGAGAAAAAAATTTGGTATATTTCTAGAAAAATTGATGACGTTGATTGATTGATCGTTTCTGTCAAATCCCAAAGACAATACTTTCAATTGAAAATGGCCCTTACCTCATCCCAAATTTTATTTAAATTATGTGTACAAAGAGATTGCTTTGAGTAATCCATTTGAAACGACATTCATTTTTTTTTTTGAGTAAATAGGAAAGGGGAATGAAAATAATTCCGTGCAACAGCAATAAAAGTAAAAACGAACCGAAATACTGCCATTTATCATCGAAACATTAAAATTTGCGTCTTATTCTCCGGCAATTCATTTCCCTAAATTAGCAGTCAGGAAATCTGACCAGTTCGCAGGGCTTCTTTTTCTTATAAAACTTCCTTTAATGGCATTTTCGAGCCACTTCACCAAAATCCGCGTTTACAATAAAGGAATACATAATTAAGGCCCTCTCTGTGTCAAAATAAGCGTGAACGGCTGGTTCTCGGCTCGGACGAAGGGGGAGGGGCCGAAAAAAAATAAATTAGATCATTAAGCCGCTAGGGCTCCCGGTCTGGCGGATAATGTGCAATTTTATCCTCATTAGTCGAATCGCGGGGGTGATTGATTAGTTTGGGAGACGGCTAAGTTGTTGCTTTGAGACTGTGGTAGTTCATACAGAGGGATTTTGCATTTTAATATTTAAATTGTTTGTGTATGATGGATGATAAACGAAAAATACGCTAAACTTGTTAAAAAAATATTATCAAAGCTACTAACGTCAGAAAAATTACGAAAGTATATGCAGGATGCACTTTTGAGGAAACAAAACATCCTGTATTGGACAAGATAACTTTTAATGAGCGATTAAGGAAAATTTAAAAGGTCTCTGAATTTGTTGCATAACTTTTTATGGGAGCAGCGATATTTCTAAATATAATAATTAACTTAATGCCGTTACAAGTGAAAGAATACATCTACATTTACAGTTAATATTAAAATTTTATGTTTTAAGAACAGGAACTGAAATTAAAAATCTGTCTCTTAAAATAAAAAACTATTTTTTTAAGATAATAAAGGAGTTGTTCTGTTTTTACGTTTGTGATTTAACATTAACAAAGCAGCTATAAACAATATTGGACGGAAAGATTAGCAAACAACTTAATTTATTGGATGTAGTAGTAGACTCGATTAACATATTCATTTTTTTAAACGTTAGTTCTACTGAAACTTAGTTACGTCACTGTTATTTTTAGTTCTGAAATGGATACGGTAAGCAAAGGCTGTTTTGGAAGGAAGATTGGCATATCAAGGGCGACAACAATGCTCGGATAACACAAATGTCAAAGAAATGATGCTGTGCATAAATTAAAATCGCTGAATTCGTTTACTCGTAACATTATTTTTTTTTTAATTCAAGCAGTATCTAATGTAAAATTGTCGAGAAAAACTAAAGCAGAATAATCAAGCTAACTGACCCTGCGTCAGTCTAGGCCCATTTAATTGGACTATATACCAGGGCGGATTTGTCGAATTATGCCACTTCTTGGATGTAAGAGGGCGCAAGCTAATTTTTGCTGGAATATCTTCAGTACAATTCACTTAATGAAAGTGTAGATCCCTAGATCTGGGCGAGGTCCGGAACTTTTCCAAAATTGCAAAGATGTTTAAAAAATTTAAAAAAATACCTATTTTATCTGTTTTTTATTTATATCTTGAAATCTATGCATTTTGGAAGCATATTGAAGATGAAAAAAAGATTTAGAATTGAATTTTGCATAATATACTGCAACTTAAAAATGTTTAAATTTATTATCGATGTTGCAAAATAGCAATAATTGATGAAAAAAATGCTAAATAATTAAGTTTTTTCAGATAATTTTTTTTAAATATTTTAATTGCTCCGAGGGCATTGTAATTTTGGTAAAAAATTTTTTAGAGTATAATAAAACAACGCACTAAATTTCATTAAAATCGGTTCTATAATTTTCGCAAAATAATTTTTTTTTTAAATTTAGAAAAAATTTTGCGATTTTTATGTATATATTTCAACAGTCTGAATATAAATATCGGTTCTATAATTTTCGCAAAATAATTTTTTTTTTAAATTTAGAAAAGATTTTTCGATTTTTATGTATATATTTCAACACTCTGAATATGAATATATTTAGTAATAATTATTACAATTATTTTAATTGTTTTTATTTAAACAAATTATTTTTTTTTATTTGGAAATTAATTTTTTTGTTAAGTACACATAAAATTAAGAAACAATATTACTTTAAAATTATAATTTGTGAAAAAAACTAAATTGCAAACTGATAAATGTAATATAATTGATTAAAAATAAAAAAAATGAGTGTTAACTTTAAAAATTTACTGTGGCTGTCCTAATCAACCGATTTCAATTTTTCAAAAACTATTTGAAAAGTTGAGCGGTCTTTTCTATGTGTAAAAATGTTCAAGCGTCTAGATGCTTTATTTGAGGCAACATTTTGAAAATTCGAACATTTTTTTTCAAAATTTTTTTCAAAAAATTATTTAGCGAAAACTATCTAACCGATTTTAATGAACTCTGGAGTGTTGTTTTATTATACTATAAAGTCTTTTTTACCAAAATTAAAATGCTCTCGGAGCAATTAAAATACATATTTTAAAAAAATTTTCCAAAAAACTTGATTATTTTGCCTTTTTTTCATCAATTATTGCTATTTTGCAACATGGCTAATAAATTTAAACATTTTTAACTTACAGTATATTGTGCAAAATTTAATTCCCAAACTTTTTTCCTCTTCAATATTCTTCCAAAATGCATAGGTTCCAAGATATAAGTAAAAAACTCGGATAAAATAGGTATTTATTTAAATTAAATTTTAAAAGAGAAAAGTTGGTAGTGAAATATTCCTTTAAATTGATTTGCGACATTATTTAAATTCAATTTCTTAAATACAAATTTTTCCAATTCGTATTCCGATAATGACACATTATTTTAATCCTAATAATTTGTAATAATTAACCCAAAATGATGAAATAATATCTGGTTAAATTAAATAATAATCAGTAAATACCTGAACTGTCAATCCGTACTACGAAGTATTACAGCAAAACAAACGGCACAGACGAGTGAACTAGCTCTAAGCGTAAGATTCTACTGCCTACACGTGACAGAGGAGAAACTGAATCTGACCCGGCGGGAAAGTGTATTATATCCTAGCCCGAACACTATAGTTTGTGTACACACTTCCAAAACACGTCACCGGAGCTTCAGGATACCCATCTGTAAAGTGATCTCAAAGTTCTCTGAAAGCGGTACGTGTTTTTTCAGGTATCGAAGTCATCGATGCCGATCAAAGATCATACGCGGTCATTGAAAATTCACTGAGTCACTAAAAAAAATAAGCGCAGAAACTTTAAACTTATAATATTCGTTCAAGCAATTTCCGCTGAAAAAAATTCATGAAAAGTGAATTGCTGCGCTCGCTTTCACCTCGGCAACGGATTGAATAAAATGACGGAAAATTAATTCATAGTTTAATGTCTAACTCACACACTAGATAGTTTTTCTAGTGTGAAAGGTTATTGGTGATAGTAATGACGTTCATTTAACACATAATCGTTTTTAATGAAGGTAAATGATGCCCTGGTAATTTATAAACGATGTAATTTCGACAGCAGATTAACTTTAATTTGTTTTATTAATACCTTCATAAAATGAAGCTATTTATCAGTAGACGTTGCACATTATTTTTTTAAGCATTAATGCAAAAATCGTTTTAATTGAGCAGCTTAAAGAACAAACGATTTTTTTTATTTTTCCCTTAGGATATGACTTTTTGAACCTTCAAATCGCAATTTCCAAACAGAAACTTAAAGTTTCTCTGTAGAGATGCAAAACTGTCTACCTTTTACACTGGAAGAAGTGTTCTTCAAAAACTAACAAGAAATTCGACACCTTACTATCCGACGTTCTTCATCAGCAATCCCGATTAGTCACTTTATCGCATTTCCTTTTTGTAGACGCCGCCGACTCGATTTATTTACTTTCATGACATCCGCCATAACACTTTATTTCCTCTTAATCACCAAAGTTGATTTTTGGCTTAGCAGCGTGATT